GAGTCAGAGGAAGGTAGTTTCAAGAAGGAATCCTAAATTCCCGATGGTCCTTACTCGGGATCGTGGAGAAAGCTGCCCAACTGCTTAACGTATTTTGTGGTCACACATTTAATTCTTTGCCAGTGAGCGTAAATTGATATGTAATTGTGGCGGAGGTGATCAAAAAATATTTAATTTAATAAGATAATGTTTGTTTTAATAGGCTAAAATAGAATAACATTCGATCAACATGAACTTCTGTTGCGCAGGTTACGAATGCCAACTGGGGGAAATTATACCTTATGTAGGCGGAATTTAATGAAAATTCGTCCTCCTATTGGCGGAATTTAACGAAAAAATTAGTCGGACTACTGACCATTTAAAAGTTGTTTTTTGGTTATAAGTCGACAGGATTTTTTGGGCCTCTACAATCAGTCTTGCCTTAATTTCTGCCCACACTATATGCCTGTTGAATGTTAGAATATGATGCACCGTAAGGATAGCGCACCATGATCCAATCTGCGTAATTGGCCAGTTTCTCTAATGGAGTGCTCGTGCCAAAACAGAAGGCTTATCCAGCCTGATTTCTGGGAAAATTGTGTCAGCCACATGATGACTGGCGACGTCTGGGGAACGCATGTGTCGCATTATTTGCGAAGGCTTTTAGTTGTCGATTTGGAACTGCCGCAAAGTCCGGTTGACCGATTTGGCCACAAGCTAGATTACAGCTTCCTACAACCGAGTGTAAATCCTGTCAGCAGGAAGCCGAGCTCAGAACGCGTAGTAAAAATTCCATCATTACTTCTCGGGTGCATCAATAACATGGTCCTGAAGAAGGAGGAGAACACCGAAGAAATGGTCTAAAAGAGTCACCCAGAACCGGTAAGAGATCTAGAGTACTAATTCCCATATTTATTTGTGGCAGGGTCGTGCACGAATCCGCCAGAACGCCGATGACGGTTTTATGTTCGAATTTATGTTTTCTATATTCAACCACGCACTAGGAAAGTACACAACAGCCAGTACCATCTCCACCAGACACTGAAAGTCTGTTTAAGAGAGCTTATTGGCCCAGGGGTAGGAGTTCGCGACAGAGGGATAACGGCACACGTACGTAGGCGCGGTACAGTGGACGTCAGTGCCGAATGGGTGGAGTTTCCCAGGTACCCATACTTCCAACTTTTTTGCCGAGAATGAACTGCAATGGAGGTAAGTTCTTCAATGATGGGAAAATGTGACAGATGGTCAAGTACGATGACAATAAAAACTTCTATGAGTTACCTTGTTGGTGGCTTCAACCTTAAATCTCAAGACCTGTATCATACTTCAGAGTAAAACTAAGACAGCAAATGCCAATTCTGGCCCAAAACTGTACTTTATTGACCGAAGGTTTCGGGGTATTACCATTTTAGTTGAAATTGCGTCATCTTCAAAATATTTCTCAAACGTGTCAAAGAGACAACAATACGGCATGGGTTTTCTTAGCAGTCGATCATACGCTGGCTACATGAATATTGATAAACGAAACCCTAGTTTCTGCAATGGAGCGCACACATTTTTTGGTCACATAGGGCCACGACAGAAGCAGTCATTGCCCAGCAGTAAGCAGTGTACAATGTTCAGTGCATTGTAATTCAGTTTCGCTCTAGAACCAGGGGAGGATTCGGATTTAGCTTTGCTTTGTTATGCTAGCCGAGAGTCTTTAGCGACAAACGTTTCCAGATCTTTGTGTATGTTGGGCTAAACGAAGCTGGCAAGGACATAACAGTCGGTTACTATACTCCTTTGGCAACAGACCTTGTATTGTATTGAACAACGTTGGATGCACAGAGGGATGCTGAGAGAGAGTCAAGGAGACGTTAAAGAGGATAGTGCTGTTTCCTGCAGCTAAAGAAATAAGACACTGTCCTCAGCGAAGAAGCCGACACTTTGTGGCTTGGCAGCCATAGCGGGAAAAAACTCTCTTGACAGAAAGATAACGACAAGACATTTGGGCTATAAACAGTATGTTAATGGTCTCAATGCGTGTTCCACGGACGAGGCGAATGTAATATTAGAGAAAATTCGATTCCCAGGTGGTAAATCAGAAGGAGAAAGGGCGTTCACTGGGTGAGGTTTATTTGGTATCTGACATTTTGGATAGTTATCTCGTCTACCCATCTTCAGAGAGTGAATACTGCGGCTCCTGATTCTCGCTATATGTCACCCTTTTCGTCCGCG